TAAAAAGGTTCTTTTAGAAAGGCAATGACTTAGTTTTCTTAATGGTATTGGAACCAACTATATATTTTTTTCCTTATATACATAAAAAAATATCACCGTGTCTTATTAGAAGCCCATTATACTAGAGGATTGTCTCTTCTTTAATTCTTCTTACCCACACTTGAATTCAGACTTGATGCTTTAATGATTGTAGGTTAGCTGCTGAATCAAAGCTTCAAACAGAAGTTAAAGAAGGAAAAGAAACTGCAAGCAAATTGGAAAAGAAAACTTGTAAGAAATCACACCCTATTCTATATGTGTCCTCTAAGTCAACTCCAGAGACCCAGTGCCCTCAGCAGTAAAGACTTTTCTTTAATAAGAGTAAGGTACCCCACAAGTAAAAAAGAAAAATAAGCGTAAGGTACCACTTGCCCAAAAGGTTGCTTTGGAGCTTAGTAAAGGTTGTCTTTAGCTGAAGTATACTACCTCGCAGGTTATTTCTTTCTGTTCATTGTGCCAGGACATGGCGTGTCCATGGTTCTTTGACCAAATGTTCTAATTTGGTTGTGACTTGGACCAGGAGATCTCCCTAAGTGATGTCACTTCATAGAGATTCTATGAATCACAGTGAATCAACTATTAAGGAAGGTGCTATTATATAATAAATGTATTTGTTGCAATTTATATGGATTTTTAAAGTGAACACTTACCATCAGAGCCATATGTTGTTATTATATATTGTAATTAGGTTTTGTCAGTGTTTAAAGCACCTATGTTCATCTTTGTATTTTTAATTCTAAACTTTACAAATAAAGATTTTTTTAAATGATTATAGACTTGTCTATAACTTAATTTCATATATACTATAGGTGGGTGTGTTAGTCTATACTATATATATATATATATATATATATTATCACACATGTATATATATTTGTGTGTATGTATGTGTGTGTGTATGTGTGTGTCCACATACACACAGATTTATTTTAAGGAATTGGCTTACGTGCATATGGAAGGTGGCAAGTCCAAAATCTGCAGTCCAGAAGCTGTCAGGCTGGAGATCCAAGGAAGAGCCAGTGGTGCACTTTGAGTTTGAAGGCCGTCTGCTTGCTTCGAGAAGGTCAGTCTTTTGTTCTATCTGGGGCTTCAACTAATTGCATGCGATGGCTCATCTACATTCTGGAGGGAAACCTGCCTTACTCAGAGTCCACAGATTTAAATGTTAATCTCATTCAGAAACACAGAAACACCCAGAATGTTTGACCACCTATCTAGGCTATGTGGCCCAGCCAAGTTGACACATACAATTAATTATCCCAGTGGGTTAATTAGACAAGTCTACTGAAAAATATTAGGTAAAAGGAAATTGCCTCTCTCTTATAAGTAAATCAAATAATAAACTTCTAATTTTAATTTGTTGCAAAAAGCATACTCTCAGGAAATTACAAAAAGCATACTAAATAATATCTCTTAAAAAAGAAGTAGCTGAAGGCACCGGGAAGCAATTTTAACCTGAGAAAAATAGCGAATGACACATTTATTGCGTAGAATGTAGATAAATTTCTTCCAACATTGCATTTTTACTATGAGCTGTGTGCTAGGGTGCAAAAAAAAATCAGAGCTCACATTTAGTAGACCTCCAAAGATGAGTAATGGTAGTGGTAATATTACTAGTAACAATAGTTCTATCTAACATTTGAATAAATCTAACATGCCAAGCACTCTTTAACCCCGTTCGTGTATTACCACATTTAACCTAACATCTCTGATCTGGTACACCTACCCTCATATTACAGATGAGGAAACCAGAAACCAAAGTCTCAAGAGAGGTTAAGTTACTGTCCAAGGACACAGGTATTAGTAAATGATGAAAAAAATTAGAGTGGTAGAGGTTGTAATGGAATGTACAAAGTACTAAAGGAACAGAGAAGGAAACAAGAAACTGCCTGGGGGCTTTTTATATATATTTTTTTCATCTTTAATCTGAGGTTACTGTAGAGGTTTCCTAAGACATGGAGAGAATAAATAGCATCACAGGTAGAAGAAATAGCTGTTGAAAGAAGAAAGGCATGAAACAACATCTCTAGTTCAGTAAACTGAGGGCTTCAAAATGGCTGCATGGATAGAGTTTGTGAAAAACAGTAACAGTAAATTGAATTCGAAGAGATAGAAGCAAAATCATGAAGAGCTGGAGTTAGGGAAATCTTTTTTATAAACAAAAACTTACACAGACCTATAAACAAATTGAGCAACTGTGATTAAAGGTTGAAGGGGTGACAAGAGACTCTTATCTAGCTGGCTTCTGCCTTCCACCCTTGGGGACTAAGGTAATTCTGTCAAGTCTTGAGTCNAATTAATATAGCAAAGAAAATGAAAGCACTAAAGGTGAATTGTCCATACAGAGAATGAAAGCATTGTTTGAGAGCCAACGGGCTCTGGATATTGAGCGAAAACTTTTTGCCAATGAAAGGTGCCTCCAGCTTTTCCAAAGTGAAAATATGAAACTGAGAGCTAAAATAGATGAGTTAAAACTGAAGTATGAACCTGAAGGTATATATGCCTCATATATTTTGTTTTTAAATCATGAGAAACTCAGAGAGATACCAATTTTTTTTTTTTACTACAGCTTTATATGCAAATCTCATTGCAAACTAATTTGTGGCTATGTAATCTCTATTTAGTAAAAAAAATATTGCTACAAAATGAGGAAAATTCAAAGAGAACTGGGTACTAGGTGTGCATGAATATAATAGGAATTCTTTTTAGGTGTCTATAGTAGAACTTGACATTTGAGACTTTTCCATTTAAGATTGCAGCATCGTATGTAATACCAACGAGTCAGTTTTGTTGAGGCAGTTGATGTTTGGAAACTATTAGTTAATACTGTTTGTAGAAAACCTAAAATTATGGAAACTTAAACAAGATAGGAAGTTAGTCCTCCCCCTGATAAGAGTCTGGAGGAGGCATTCTAGGACTGGTCAGAACGTCAGGATCCAGGCTTCCTTCTCGCTGTTCGCCACTATCCGTCTTGAGCAGAACTTAGGCATGACCTCACCTGCCTGTGAGAAAAGCGGAGAAATGCAGTCTTAATTCTCAGGGTTCAGGTCCCTACTTCCATCTTGGGGATTCTATCGTTCAGGAAGAATAGTAGGACAGATATTAGAAGACAACTAGCAAGTATATTCACTGAGATGGGAAATACCCTAACCATACAAGCAGTGAACCTTACACACTAAAAAGAGTGATGCTGCTGTATGTAAACTAAAAAATAAAAGGCCAAAGGTAAAAAAGTCTAAGAATGTGATGGTTCTTAGACCAATAAAAAGTGTTATTACAAGTTTTACTTATAGCTTTTGCCCCTATCCTGTTCACACGCCTTAGGCTCTCTCTTCATTCTTGTCTCAATGACTGGAGTTACTCTCAGCAATAGTAGGGAGGTTGTCTGTGGTAGTCAGGTTTCTTAGAGTTTAAAAAGGCTTCTTTCTCTCACATTCTTTTTCTCTTCCCTAATTCTAATAGGCTCTCCTGATTAAGAATTATCCATTTTGAATTTGAAAGGTTTTTTGAACAAAGCAGAGACTTGAGGAAGAACAGTGAATCTAGATGATACAGGTTTTAAAGGAGCAGAGCCAGAGAAAGAGAAAGGAACGACTAAAACATCACAGCAGCGCAGAAACACCAACCCCATGTTCCACCATGGTTTCTCCAACTTCACTAAAATTTTAATTTTGAAAATGAAACATTCATTAGTATAGGAATAGGGAAGACATATTAGAGCGATTAATTCAGTGACTGCATGGGAGATGGAACGATGCTATGTTAGGCAGTGATGTTGCAAAGGCAGGAAGGCTATTGTAGTCTTCAGTGAGACATGCTAATGCGGTTGGAACTGGGGAGGTAGCCATAGGAGAAGTGCACAGGTTTTGAATATATTTTGTAGGTGGGGCTACCAGGCATACTCAGAGTTTGACCTGTTCTTTTTATTTAATCCTTAACAACATACAGTACTGAGTGAAGTAGGTACTTTTAATCCCCATTTTAAAGATAAACAAAATAAACTGCAGAGAAGTTAAGTACTTCCCCCAAGATCATGGAGCTGCAAAATGCTTATACTAGGATTTCTTCCTGGATTCCTTGACTCGTAGCCACTGTATCCTTCCTCATCCCCACACTGCTACCTTATGAAGCCCCATGCGACTTCTATCACAGCACCAGGAAAAGCACATTTACGTCTTCATTCCTAAGCCAAATATATTGGGTTCCCAAGGAAAAATGTATAGCCAGATAGCCTTTAAAAGATGAAGTTAATGGAGTCCATGAAAACGAAAGATAAAAGACAGAAACAGAATGTATCAATAAGGAGATTAGTGGGTTTTAAAAGAATGGGAAAAAGGAAAGAAAAAAATATATATAATTACTTCTACCTCTTTATGTTGATTGTCTTTCATCTATTAATTGGATATATTTTTAATGAATTTTATTCTCAGAAAAAATTGAAGTGCCTGTACTCAAAAAGAGGCGTGAGGTACTGCCTGTGGATATCACCACCCCTAACAGTGTACATGCCGACAGTGCTGTTGGGGAAGAAGTTTACAGATTACCACCTCAGAAAGAGGAGGCACAGTCCTGTACTAACAATTTAGAAGATGATAACCTGCAGTTAGTTTCTGTAAGCACACCAGAAGTCATTCTCTCCCCTCACAAAAATCTGCCTGTGAATAATCAACCAACAAAGGAAAAGAAATGCGTGAAACTTGTAGACGTTCCAGCCATAAGTGAAAGAAATGGAAATGCCCCTAACTCTCCCAGGTCAGTGTCCTTGTTCATTCAAGGCAACCAGCAGACTTTTGCATCTCTCCTCTGGCACTGCATGAACTAGGTGTCTGTTTCTTTATGTTTTCTTAGTATTACATTCATTATAATTTCCCAATTTTTTCTGTCTACCTTCAACTTTTTTAACACTTTAGTAAGACTAAAACGATTGCAAGGGTAAAGGACTCCTGAATTAGGGCATTATTTTTTAATGTTACGCTTTTCAGTTTCAGAAAACAGAAATATCACAGTCTAGTACCTCTCTGTATGTTTTGTTGGTTTGAAAAGTATATGGTTATTGTCTTCCTGGTTCAAGTGTGGCCATGAAAGAAAACTTCACTTATCTCTTAAAAGAACTTTCCAGTAGTCCAAGAAATTTCAGCTTTCTAGAAAGCTGTTAGGTAAAATTTTTTGTGGCTTTTGAAATTGTTTATCCTAAACTTTCAAGAATGGTCTTTGATACCTATTTTGACATTTTAAAATATCAAAGGTAAATTTATTTTCGTTTACATCAAAACATCAAAGCTTCTTGTTTCTGGATATTTTGTATTTGTGACTAAAATAGAAGGTGTTGGACATATATGTCTTAAAAATTCACTTTTTAAGGTTCTTATCCTTT